ACAATATCTTTACGGGATTAGTACAATTATTAGCACTTAACCACAATGTCTATAAAGAAGAGTTACTACAATTTAAAACATTGCATTGTGCTGTATAGAAGAGATTCTATAATGGTTTACATTATACCATGTAGTCTAGAAGGGATCAGAACAATGGTAGACACTGTTCCATATAGCCTAGAACAGATTAATGCAACGCTGGAATTTGATCCACACTTTCCACAAAGAAATAATATAATGGTGGATATTGATCCACAGTGTTTGAAAGGGATTAGTACAATGGTCAAAACTGATCCACTATGTCTGAAACGGATTTGTACAATGATCAAAACTAGTCCACCATGTCTGAAACGGATTTGTACAATGGTCAAAACTAATCAACTATGTATGAAACGGATTGGTACAATGGTCAAAACTAATCCACTATGTCTGAAACGGATTTGTTCAATGGTCAAAACTAATCCACGATGTATGAAACGGATAAGTACAATTGTCAAAACTAATCCACAATGTCTGAAACGGATTACCTCATCGATTGGCACTGACCCACACTGTCTATAAGAATATTGTATAAAGGTGGAGACTGATCCAAAATGAGTAGAAGGGTGTGATCAGTTCGTTTCTTTTGAATTTCAATCAGATTGAACAGGTGAATTATTTCCTAAACCAAGTATTAATTTTAACAACCGGACAACCTTGAGCGTATTGTCCAATATACATTTCAATATACCGTGGATAGGTATGGCTGTCGATTGGGTTCTCTTTGTCATTATATATCTACATTAACCAAAGACCCATGTTAAATCGAAGTGATTAACTACTTGATCTACTGTCCCGGTGTTCGAACCTTAACATGTTAGTACTTAACGTCTCACGTGCACAGATATATTTCTATAATAAATTCAATTTAAAGGCTGATGTCTACGAATACAAACAGCGTGATGACCGAATGTTCCGGTGTTATTTATTAACAAAGACTGGTTGCGTAAACCTGTCACTGTGTATTGATTAGTTTTCACGTCTATATCCGTAATGTTCAATCTAAAATAAGTCGGAAGGAGACATACATGTGAGCACTAGGTTAAACAACCGATGTTAAAAAGAACTGAAAGTTCACGGTGCTTTTTTACAGACCAGACGGGGGTAAACGTGTGCGATTTGTGAGATTAAAATTAATGAATTTCTGAGTATACGACTAGGTCAACGAACGTAAGAAGCTGTTATATTCACAAGCAATGTTGATAAAGAATCAATTCATAAGACGGGGGTACAGACGAATGCTTTGTACTCCCATCATTAGTTAGACTGATTTGGCAGGTACTCGCTTTCACAGCACCTCCTGGTTCGATACTTTTCACATGTAGAATGATAAATATCACTGCCTTTGGTATAAATATACAGAAAACAGTAACTCTGGGCCCTGAACTATGTTTGATAGTCCTTAAACGGTAGTCCTATAGAGCCCTACAACACAGAGTGTAGAGCAAGGATTCCGCGACAAGGCGGACTACCCAGGTAGTTCACGTCAGATTAAAATACTCTGTAACTCATATCTGATAGAGAATGGCGCGGACAGAATGTTATATTGGGCCAAGGAGGGGTAAGATCCGAATCTTCACCCGGATCCACAAACCAATCTCAACGCCAGACAATTGGGAAGCACCGACAGCTATTGGAATAGCGTCAGTCATAGGAACACAGCGAACCGTTGTTATGCATCAGCGAGCGGCTCGACCTAGGCCAAGCAGATCCAATAGCACCGTAGATCAGGTTACTGTTCCTATTGACAATCGCTATTAACTAGTTGTATCTTATAATACTTATAAGAATAATATAGCATAAGGCATTAGGAGTTAAATAGTCGGTCGTTTCTATCCAGCCAGTTTACAATGACGTATGGGTATGGGTTCCTCTCGGGCTGTCTCTATAGGCAATGAGACTTCCAAACTTATAGATCTACCATGAAGGACAAAATGGCGTGACTCTTCTGTAGCTTTGCTAGTGGTTTTCGTGTGGTATAGCTATTCATAATGGATGTTGAACATGACCCAATGAAGACATAATCGTGGCAACGATGACGGATAATCTAGGATTGTGCCTCCAGGACCTGTATCCGAGCCCCATGAGTCCCATAGGGCCGCTTACAGAGTTTATCCTGGAGGGCACCAAAATGAAGACCCCGGAGACGCCGGTATATTACCCTATTTCATATCGTATACCCTCGTTTAAACTTCATATATTGTGGGAAAACTATAACATAATGTTCACTTATCTTTTATTTGTCCTTTATATATATATATTTTATGTTCGTTGAAGATAAATTTATGTAGTTTACAATATCCGTTCCCATCACTCTATGTGGATATTAATTACTGGTTACGACCTTATGTATTTGCTTGCCTCTATGCATTCAGCAAAAAATACTCTCGTTATATATATATGAAATCCAAACTCTGTACAGCTAGTATTATGTGAAATGGATATATAAAGAAATATATGTAAATATGTAGTTGGCACTGCAACGCATACATTGAGTAATACAAAAATATACGGCATACAAAAATAATAACTAAGATCGTGTCTGAAGATACGATCTACGTGTTATAAGTATACTGCAAACACACAGACGAATCTGACTGTGATAGAGTTAATAGATAAAACTGGAATAAATCGTCTAACGAAAATATCCACATAATGTAATTGTGTAATTGTATTCTATTTTGAAGATATTTCATCTATATATTTTGAAAGATATTGACAACTGAGCATTGTGATTATAGTATTATAAATAAGATTCTAACTTGGACAAATAACACAACCTATTAATCATTACGTATTGAACAAATGTACACGTAATATTGCAGGGGAAGATTCGTGTAAGGGCCTTTCAATGTTTATGTTTATAATTTATAATGTGTACAAATACATAAACGGTATACAGTGCATTAAGAAGCAAAACAAACAAGCGTTAAGAAATGGAAATACCATATACTAATACTTTCAATTTAGGAATATTTCTTACTATTTTTCCTTTGAACTATAAGTTGGCATTTCCCTTATGTGAAAGATAACACGTTTGCCGTTAGCTACAGTAAACAGTCATAACTTATAAACGAATAGACGAAACAGTGTTTAACGCGTCATTGACGACGATTTCAGTTACCACAGTAACGTGCCATTGTAAATATATTAAATAGAACAATAAATAAAAACACATGTTAGCTCCGCTTTTAGAATGAGGACAAATATCGAGGTATTCGCCTTCCTTGATGAAATTTAACTGGTATTTACCAAACACTGTTCTAGGAATAGTCTCTCTATCTCTATCGAATATTCTTCGCTGAAAATGACTAATCCAGCGTAATGTTCATTGAAATATTGGATCGTGACATTGTACTTTGCTGAATGAGAAACTTTGTATAGAGTCACAAAATATGGGGTACCCCCAATATGTTCCTCATTAACTTAAAATGCCTGTGATTATCCATCAGGACGGGCTGGGTGTGAAGAACGAGGAGGTAGGATGATCGTTACTTGTGTATCGTAGCTCGGATGTAGGGACTGACAACGTAGATTTTTTAATTATTTGTTGTTACTGTTAGTGTTGTTTGGCCCTGTTTTATGGTGTGCTTGTGATTGTTTGGCTAACCCAGGTTTCGTCTTTAATTCTCTTTTAAGAATGAAGAAAACAAATATGGTGTTTCTGGTCATATTTCCTTTTCTCTCTGGTTTGCTTGTCTGTTATTGAATTGAGTGCTAGTGATAATTTTGTTTCTTAGACATTTTCTTTATTTATGTAGTTTAGTATTGTTTAGGTTTTGGTAATAAACCGTATTTCAACAAAATGACAATATTAAAAAAACCACGAAGAAAACATCTTACAAAGGTATTGACGATTAACATCATACACACTGTATAATGTGCTACATTTTGAGTTTGTCCCTTAAAACAAATTAGCTAAGTTATCGAGTATGGGATCTGTATGTTACGACCAAATACCGTTGTATTAAGTCTTCAAACACGTTATATCGATTGCATTCCTAGGCTGTCAGGTTGCATTTACACACAATTAGATAAAAACTTCAGGTAACTTGTGTCATGGATTTGATCTTTGACTGTATACGACATTAGACATATCATTTTCAAACTGAGTCCAGAGTTACGTGGTCACGTGCAGCTGCATATTTAGATAGAACGTATTTAAATACCGATGACAAGAGGAAATGTTGGATCGATATACTTCTGTGATGTTTAAAGGGACATGTTGTTATTGTTGTTGTTAAACTTCGTTTCTCACCACAGGCTTATAACACATATACAGTTCCAGCAGTACACTGTCACCAACATCAGTTTATTGATTCTGTAATGCATACATGTGATTATATCAAGTATCAAAGATTTAAGGTTGAAAACATGTCTGTTCTTCCCCATTGTGACAAAGTATTGTTTGGCTGTTATTTACATAATCAATGTGACGTTTTTCTACCCTGTTGTTTGACTGGAAATCTACGACATCATGTTAATTTTGTTGAGATTTGTTTTAATGTGTTCTGTATCCTTTTTTGTGTGTAAACGTTGTTTTCGTCAATAAACTTTATATATTCATTTGTTTTATATGATAATTTGTATTTTTGTTCATAAAATTATCAAATGCTAACTGCAGTGATACGTATGCCATTCTTATGCAAACTACATACTATGTCGCCATTTATAAACATGTATTTCGTTAAACAAGTTATAGGTTAATGAATTGATTGTTTTTCCTTTCACTTTACTAACTGAACACTTGTATTCTTTCGAAGGTTTCCAGAACCGGAAGTAGACCAAAGTTATTTAAGGTTTGGACGTTTGTTTGGAAGGTGGTAAGCTGGTGGTGGTGCGTAAAGCTTCCTGAAGACGTTGCGTTACCTTCATTCATTACTATTTTCTCACGTAGGTTGCTCATCCTAAATATATTCCTAGATGTAATAGACATTTAAACACAACATTTCTATCCGCAGCTCCGTCATATGTCCTTCAACACCGGAAGTCGACTCAAATTACCTGATGATGGCGATTTCTCAGTCAACCCTGAGCCCGTACCATTTCAACCTCAAAACTTCATGTAAGTTGACCATAACTTTGCATTATTCCTTTCGTAACGTTTACAAATATTGTTTAATATAATCTTATTTCCGTTACTTTTCATTTGATTTCGACAAGACTTTTTCCCATTTTCCATCATTAGATAAAATATTGTATTTAACCACGTTGATATATATAATTGTTTACTTGTTCAATAAATATGTTTATTTTAACCAATTTATTATACCGGTTTATGTAACTTTACAACAATTAGAAAATTCAATATTATATAACTTAATGACATTCCAGCATCTGAGGCTATTACTCAAATTTTAATTATTGATGACATTGTATGTACAGAAGTTAGCTCTCACGCGAAACCCATTATTATTACACACGCCTATATAAAACGCCTTAATTAAGAAACTTAATCCCAATACACAGTACGATCTTACTTTGTTTTTGGCACTGGGCCCCTGAAGGGTTGGTTTGTTTTATACACAATCTATCGTGTCATTTAAGAATATAAATTAGTTTCCTCGTATCAGTTAAACAGCTGAAGTCGTGGTTGCGTTAGGATTTTATATGTTTTATTGTCGATGAAATACGACAATGATAACAGCACACCCCGTGTCTTAAGGTGTGTTATCAAGATTTGAAACAGAAGTCGGTGTAGTGACAAAAATAGAGATACCATCACACTGTGGAATTGTATACACACTATATAGCCGTGACAGACAAACAGGGTTATTAGCACGGGGTAATGTAATAACCACCGAAATGGCTGACCTTGTCCTAAATCTGTTTTATCTTCAGAGTATATCAAATTATAGAAATGGATCTTATATAGCACTGTTAAAATACAATTGGGAATAATTTCATTATAAAGAAAGACATTAAACACTCGTATTGCTCCCACAGTAAGCTTGTCGGAACTCCACATGTGTTACTGTCAAATTGTCAAGTGTTTTTGTGATCTTTATCTGAAATGCTTCTTCTAAATGTTTAAGGATATCGATATTTACATAAAGTTTTTCTCAAAATTCAAACGTGAACATTTTCACAAAATGTATAAGGTACAGTCGCCTGTATCTGTACCACAAGACACTTTCCTTGGCCATCACGTGTAGAGTATGTTCTAAATTGTCACGTGTATGAGTGCTGTAATTTCTCGATATCAGGAATATGGCACCACAGGCTAAAGGGTATGGAGGCGGCGGAGGCGCTGCGGAGTAAGTATGGGAACCGTCCTGCTGGTACTGCGTTGTCTTGTATTGTTCATGGCATGCTCGCGTACAACCATTGCTGTCCCTAATGTAACAAAATAAAGTTAACAATGTATCGCTCTACATATCAGACTGGTATAACTATATTGAAACTATCACTTCACCAAAAAAAAAGCAACTGCTTGTCTTGATATGCTGCATAACATGATAGCGCCTGTAACAGTTCGGAACCCAACAGGTTTTACACGTACATGAGAGTGACATTAAGCATATATTAATGTCATGATGTTGATTAACTCTAACGCTGTCGTAAGATTGATTGATTTTAAGTACCAATATTCAAACAACAAATTGTCTTTATATTTATGTGTGTTTACTACGGTTGTGTATAACTAATTCTAACCATTTGGACAATAATGCTTATTTACTGGCTTGTGGAATGAATTGAAACACGGAATAAGCTTGGGAGTTTTTATCAAAGTAGATTAATTACCAAACAAAGAGGCATTTAATCTGTATATGTTTATAAACGGTGTTTACCTATTATTTCAAATACCCATTAAACAAAGTCAAAAACAATTGTGATTTAAATCATGATCTCACGCATTATTGTTAACGTTTATTAAATTGCAATCTACCTGGCGACACACGACCACCGGTGGGCACTATATACCAGCCAATCTACCTACGATAGCCGTCAAAGGCAGGGGATACAATACAAGGTTAACTGCCAGACGTGTATCTCTTATTAGCATAATGCAATAGCTATGCTAGAAAATATGTAATGTAAAACTTACATAATATCGTTCAATATATTTACGATATTCATTTCGTTTTTCTCTTTTTCTGGTATCGCACGAATTGATAAACATTGCTATTGATTAACAGAGTATTCATGCGCAAATCTTAAAACATATTGACGCTATTTAAATATTTCTCGACAACCTGCAGCAGTATAGTATTAACCTTCGCCAATGCTCTTACATTCCATAATATGAAATGGGATTATGTAATTGATTTTGGCCGACATTCAGTGATACCTAATTATCATAGTTAAATGTAAGCTAGAGGTATACACACATCCTCAGTAGTTCACAGCTAGTCCCATATCATACAATGAAAAGTTACAGAATTTAGAGGAAACATAAATTAGTTTAAAGAATCGAAAGGAATCAAAAATCATTTTTGGCGAGACACAAAAATAATCAGTTGATTTTAGGTTAACATTTAAGTTTTACCATTTTATTGCTAAAATGAACACAAGGATATGTAAAAAGTGAACAGAATAATTTCGAAGTATTCTTATGAAATATTAACGAAAATTGATCATCCATCTATGCCCACCTCTTTTTCTATCTCTAAATATAATTTCCCTTGTTTATTTGTAAATATATTCTTTATTTATTAAGAACCCGCAATGAATAGCATTTGCTCTTTACTAAAGCAGGCATTTTGTATTTTAGGTCTTCCACTTCGATGAAAAAGATACCGATTCCAAAGCGGCATCTGGACAGTTTTGGGGGCTATGAATACAACATGGGTGCTAAGCGAGGCATAATCCTCCACACAGACAGATACCAGGTTTGTCTTTACTCCGCTTGTCCTTATTACATTTCAAACCATTGTACTAGCACTGTAAACAACTGGACAAGTTGCTTGAAACGTTTCCGACATTTGTATTTCTTCATATTTTCCCCATACAACTGTAATATGTAAGGGACAAATAGAATCTAGGTTACATATCTTTTCTTTTATCAGCATTGAGTATAGGACCGCCTTGCTACCTGCAATAAAGACTTTAGCGAGAAAAGATTCACTTTGATGTTTAAACTAATATAGCCCAATTCTTGCTTCTCTAGTAAACAACAAATACGAAGAAGTAGCTGCATGGGCTCTCTATTAGATTTGTTTTAATACAGGTATTCCTGTTCAATTAGAAAATTTTAACTTTAATACGTTTTTTTTATTATCATCAGAACCATATATTGTTACCCAAAATAAAATATATTGATAAATTGCAAACCACTTTTGGCAAATATTGTTTTATTCTAAATATGTCCCAGAATTCCAACTCGAAATCAGGCCTCATGGATCAGGTAGTGTATCTATCTATATAATTTAAATGTGTATTGGAAAACTATCAATTTCTGCTTTGATATATACCATTATTCTGACCGCAGGTATGGCTTTTATACATGCTATATGTACGCCGCGTGACTTTATCGCTTCGAACTGTAGATTACGAGCGGTTGAGTATTTGTCTGTAATCGTCGCAAAATGAAAAGCTGTAATATTTCCAAGGGTAGAGATACATCTTGAACTTTTAAGTGTGCTGATTTGCGTTTGATCTTGTATTAACATCTTGCCCCTATATTTACACATCTATCTATGGATCTATGTGTGTTACACTCAATTAACAAGGATTGAAATGTTACTACATACTATACTTACTGTATATATATATGATCTGATTGCAGTACTTGTACCCCTTTTCGGTATGTAACACTGTTCGCAGATTTATCCAATAGTGGTTATCTAATCGAATGGTATTTCCTAGGTAGACTTGTCCATTTCATGGAATTAGCTATGTGCGGTAGCTAACACTGCATGGAGAAGGAGGTGTATTGGTGCTAGTAGACATGAGAGGCTCCTCAAGTGGAGCAATCGTAGTGTGATTTTATTTTTGTTGCTGAATGAGGTTTGCTTTAAACAATCATATACAACTGTAAAACGGGAATATCCAGCATAACATTTCAAGTCTTTCATTGTTATCTGAAAACAAGTCTTCAAGAAATTTGATTTGAAAAAAAAAAATGTTCATATGTTTAATTGCACGTCTTTCCCGAATTGCAGTATTTAATTCGCATTTCGAACTAGCATTCATATAAATTCATTAGTTAATAAACATTGTAATTCGTGATAATAATGAATGGACTAGCATGTTTGAAACCATTCATGTAAAAGAATAACATTTCATGGTGACAAAATCAGCTTACATTGCTCATGGACTACGGAACTTGAACTAAACCATATAACCGACTTTTAATCGTTCGATGTTTCATAATAATGTAGATCAAAGATCATTGTCGTTTAAGTATTTGAGTAGCTAGTTATAACATCATGCTAGATTGATTTTAGAGAGTTTGTTTATGTTTTTTTTTACCTTTGACATTTTATTGTTAGATTTAAATCGGAGTTGATAACATTCGTTAGGAAAGTGATTCCGCACCATCTGTGATTATATGTGGAAATTGAAAGAAGAAGAAAATATGTATCATAGCAATATTTCTATATTACATTATGTATTTATCTGTATATATGTTAGACGGTCACTATGGCGATTTGTCACTATGACCATGTCGGGCATGTCGGGCTGTTGACCACTGGAAACCTGATTATGTCTATGAAGTAAGAGCCGTGGATATTATAATGCTAGGCGATTTGGTGCCTCTGGTCGTGAGTTTAAGGCCTAGACAAGGCACGAGTTGTTAAATGGACTTCCTAGGTCACTTGTGTTTCTATGTCTTTGTTTCAATAAAAATACCCACAACGTATCATATACACTAGCGTATATGAGACTTTCTGTGTAACAGGAAAAATCTCGGGTTGGAAATTTATTTCTAAAGAAAGCTCGTTTAAGATTTCTATTATATTCCAGATAATTAATTAGTATTACAAGTAATGAGTATAAATACAATAAAAAACATAATAAGGTTTTATCAGATTATTCAGAAAAATTATAACTGACCTTAGTGTTGATTAATTTGGCTTAACTAAGATCCAGCTCTAAATAAAACAAGAATTACATGTATGTGATAGACTGCAGATTGGAAATATACAGAGCAGCATATTTGATCTTATTTTTGTTTTGTTTTTGTAAAACATAGCCTGATTAAATTCCGAAATACTGATTTGATAAAATTTGAAAAATCTAAATATTTTAATAAATATTAATTTTTTTGCAGTGGGATTCGCCTAAAGTGTTCGAAGGGTAAGTCTGACAAAAGTCATCTACTTTTCTCTATATTATTCAAATGGTTTTAATATTTAGACGAGTGATTCCGTCTTAAAAATTATTTTTTACACATACAATTGATAAGTGCAAATGTTCTGAAAAAAGTACAAATTGTGTACTTTTCAACATGAAACATTTCCCGGCGTTACAAGTTATTCTAATTCGTTGACAGCACCTTTCACGGTTCAAATAAAATTAGTTCGTTGCTATGATATTTCGCTGTAATAAATTCCCGTAGTGCTAACTAAACTCATTCGTTAATTAAGATAACGCGGTACAAACTAAACTAGTTCGTTGCCATAAATTTACCCTGTTGCATGGTACTTTTAAACTAAGCTGAATTGTTCATCATTTTGCTACATAAATATTTGCAGTTCCTCTCTCTATATAAAAAAACGAACGAAAAATACACAGTGTAACTTTAGTATTTATTGTTTGAGCATATTAAGCATAAAAAAGGTTTTAACATTGTTTTTTTATACATTCTAGCTTAAGCCAAAGGGAGAGATTACGGGCAGAGCTAGAATATATGGAAAGGCTGAGATATGTGAAACGCCGACGGGAGGTGCTGCCCCACAGGGCACAGATTGACCTTCTGATGGGAGGCAAGAAGGTGGACTTCGTAGAAAGGTATATGGAAGAGATATTTCTCACAATAGGTCTTTTAACCCTCTAAATGACGCCAATTACAACAAACAGTTTGAACATCTTCCAACTAATGACATAAACTAATTGAAACGAAAGTATGCCAGAGCATCAACATAGAAGGCAAATCGAAAGTCAATACAAATGACCAACAACACGGACTGAGGAGACACCGAAACAAACGAAAAGCTACCATGAAATAACTAAAAATCGGAGGTGAACCAATCACCTATGAAAGAATAGATAAACAGGTGATCAGATATCGGTCAATCCTAAGGGAAACTATTTGTACAGGGGAAAAATGTAGATGACTATACAGACAGTTGGACATGTTCGTGAGACTTATAAGGACGACGTGAAATGTTCGTGACGAAACACTCAATTAGCGTATTTAAAGGGTAAACGTAAAGATGTTAAGGAATAGCACAAATTATACATTCGGATCACAAATATATAGCTACTGTTACATAGCAATGTAATCGGACATCTGTTAAGCATAGTTAAGTTAGGATTCAGGCACTTAGATAACGCGTTTCATCAGTATTTCAATTGCCGCTAAAGCGTTTCAGCAAATATCAACAAAAGCATATAAATATATCTTAATGCTTTTATCTATTTCAGGTTCGATATTCAAAAGGAAATCCAGAAGTTAAAATCACTTATAATGCCTCAAAACGCTAGGGATTTGTTCCATGGACGAGGGATACCTCTGCCGACGTAAGTTACCCCACGGTTATACAAACCCTTATACATATTACACGCCATGCGATAGTCTTCTGACACGTTTGATCTGTATATCGATGTACAAGCGATCGGATACATTCCCTTTATCGGTAGACAAACTTACTTCGACATTTCACCATGTAAATATGTATTAATAAATTTCATATGTAAATATCAATATATACACTTAAAAATGTAAATTCAAACAATTTCAAGTACAATGGTTCCAGACACATCTCGACATGCGATTGCCAATCATAATTAAGCATTTTGATTATTTGGTCTGACTGAAATGGACTTTAAACAGATGGAATATGTATACAAAATACATGGTTAATAGGATTATAACCGACCACTTTCTGTTTCCAGGGAACACTCCTCTGTGAAACCTCGGAGACCACCTTTAATAGACTATGATAGCGATGAGGACAGTAAGTGAAACCTGTATTGGTAAAAAATGAAAAACAATATCCAAGGGTCTGGGAACTATAAATGTGTGTTTCATGAAAATATGGTCAATGGTAGATAGCAATAACAATTATTGGATCTAGTTCAAAGCCTGATTAGCTTTACAAGAATTTAAAAATAAGTTTCTTATTTTTATGTTGAAAATATGAAATTATTTACATAAGTTACATTGTGGATTAAGAATGTCAAATTTTGAAGAACAAAATGTCCATAAAATAATCAGGCTTTGAACAATTATAGATTTTAGTCAATCAACCAAAACTCCATAATCGGTGAGGATAAGTGAACGTTTCGAGCATGATTCATTTAAATGTCCTTGACCGACATAATGCAATGCTTGATCCTAAAATATATGTGTAAATAATAAAATGTTCATGATTTCTATTTGTATTCCATTTTTATCATTAGCTTGGAATGAGTGAATCAAATGTTTTATTATTGAATGTTCACTCAAATCATTTGCTTGGTTACCCCATACCTATCTTTCAGTCACCCTCCAATGTCCTATAGACTTAGATACTGATCTATTATATCTTGTCTCGTCTCCTCGCTTGTTCTTATGTGTTACTGGTTATGGGTATCGTTATAGTAAAATACCATCAAAGGCACAAGTAGCAAACTGACACAATCATTCATCCGAACTACACAAACAATATTTCCTCTCATTTTAAATTTCACCCTTCATTCATGTGTGGAGATATAATTATCACGTACAAAACACATCTTGATTGCACTCGTGCAGAGTGTTTTCCATTTTCATAACACATATTTTTACTACACACGTGTTGCACATATGTGCCTTTTTATTTATCACACATGAATGAAAATACATATGACACATTAAAAAATATTTGTGTATGACATAAACGGTTTTATACATGTATAGCGTTACCAGTTTCATCAGCAAAAGTCAAAAACAAAAACACATATACATATGTAATTGAAGTAATTAATATATGTGGTAGCGGTCCAGCTGCATATTAACGCTTGTATAGAACCATGTCTGTGTCTGTTGGCTACTTTTGCTAGTACATGTGCCTCTGGTCTTGGTTTATAATGCTCTCATCTCGTTTCCAGTAACCTCGTCTGCTCGAAGCACATTCCAACGTTCCAAGTATTCTCATGACCCCGATATGGGGGGATCAAAATCAAAATCACGGCGTAACTATGACGGTCATCTGCCGAGAATTAACACCAGAACCTCCATGTTAGGTACAGAGAATTAATACTTACGTGTGACGCATAACCTGTGTGCCGTGTATGGGTTCGAATATAGTACTCTCCTGACTTACTACCTGTGTGAATTAATATCTATGTTTGATTTGGCATTTTCTTACTCTAATACTACGACTGGATGAGTAAATAGGACTTACTGACTGCAATTATTCATAAGTTAAAACGTACCAGTTTGATAGTGCAAAAGTATGAAGTTGAATCATATATGATTATAACAAAACAGTGAGTCACAATGTACGAAAAGAGAAACACAGACTGACAAAGTGGAACAAATGTTTAAAATAGAATTCCATACCAGTGATGTTCCTCTATCTCATAATGTTCAAGTGGAAACAATACCAAGCGGATCAACACTTGCATACTATATACTGATGAAACTTTTTTTTGTGAATATAATGTATTGTAAAGTTGAATAATGACACATGATAGATATAGCTTTCATTTGTTGCATGTTTAGAGTAGCTGTACCATGTCTAATAGTTAGAATATTCCTTAACATGTTTGCCAATATAGGGCGGGTGCAATCCGAGTTCAACATATAAACATTTGAGAGTAAGACATATTTTTTATAAATTCATAAGATGGATGTAATTTTGCATTCCTGTCTTCACTTGCTTTTGCACGTCACAAATCCGTGTGCACTATAAATAGCGGTAACCTTAATTTGACGTGTACAGTCTACGATCGATTTCATATTGGTATAACGTGTATAGCTACCCGTTAATCGGCAATGGGCAGACCTGATCAGTGTAGATATAGCTGCGACGAAGTATAAAAATCAGTGCACGAAGTATGTTTAGTATTAAATGCGTCATCCAGGAAGTGTAATATATTGCACATCGAATGGCTGAAGAAACTGAACATCTGCGAAACGCAAAACTACAAGCTTGGAAAGGTAGGGTTGCATGTTGTTAGAGTAGATTTAGCAGAGGTAGCGTTTGAAAACTATTTTGTATTTAGACGACTTTCACATTAGTGGTTTACAATCGTTCTATGACCTGTTAAGTTCTTAACCTTCAGTATTAAATCCGATTTGTGGTTTTGTTTGACGCATGGTATGGTACCATTAATTCCGCATGCATTTTACTTCAAAGAACAACCAGCATGAAATCCTCTGAATGTTTAACGGTAATGTTCTTAATCCTTCCATAATCTTTTAAATTTGCGGTGAAGTTTCGAGTTGGTATAATCTACAGTCCCGACGTCTGAAGCAGTGTTTGTTCATATGGTTTATGATTTATTGTAAGTAAAACGTGGTATTTGTTCCAATGTGTACTAAGAATTTCTTCAAAACGTTATGCAATAATTTAATTTTACCTCAGACGTTGGACAAATGATTTGCAAAATATGGAATGATTTATCATATTGTAGCATGGATGTTTATAAATTGTATATGTATTTTAACGGTTCTGTGAAAATATGTATATGTTTATGGTGTTGAGAGATTGTTATGTATTTATTTTGTATATACATCGAAGTATTACGCACTAATTACCACTAAAACCGAACCCCTGCCAACTATGACACGCAAAACACATTCTGAGCTCATTCACGCACGATGCAACGTCTGCTAAATTAAAGCTCACTCACATACCAGCACAAATAATGTAAATACCCTTGACCTTGAACAATGATCTGACACAATTCCATCCAATTTTCTTTCATCAAACAGGATACGGCTCCTCGGCACCCATCATACTGGCCAGAGAAAGGCGCACAGTAGATCAAATAAAAGCTAGAATTAGCATACCTGCAGGTTTGATCATGTAGTCAATGACCCTATAATCTCATCGTTTCTTTACATTTCTTTCAAATTGTTTTTGACGAATAGTATTCATTGTTAACACCAAACATACAATTCTATTTTTTATCACATGTATACATTTGTCACTCCTTTACTTTTCTTTAGTGTTATTATAACAGAATATATGAATAAAATTAAAGAAAGGAAGAATAAAAGACAGAAAATAAGCTATAATGATTGTTTTCTTAGAAAAACTGAAAATGACATTCTTGTCACCCCGTTTTATTTATTTGAAACTATTAAAAAGAGTCATGCTGGTTAGCTTGAGCGCTATACTTAAACCGTGTTGTTGCTGGAGTGGCATACATAATACTATAACGACTGTTAATCCTGAGGCTGAGGGTGTAATATGTAATAATGTGTTTGGGGACGGCTTTTGTGTGTGAGGCATACATTATATTTCTAAAACTGAAAGTGAAGGTGTCTGATAGTGATGCACTTTTTGTAATTGTTGAAAATTCGCTGTGTTCAATTTGGTTTGAAATGGTATGACGTTGAAAGTGTTCGGATGTTGTTACACCTTTGCTTTCGGTATTTGCGCGGCAGTTATTAACAGGGAATGCTTTACTGCCGATTTTATTGTGTCGGCCATTCTTATTTCCCCTCTGTTGCAACGATGCTGAAGTGATGTGTGAGTTTTATTTTTTAATTGTTATTATTCCAAAATGTCTATCATTTTGTTAAATCAACGATGTTTTAATATTTTTCTCGTCTTTTAAAATAATTGCAATTAGTGTCACTTTAAAAAATCTCTATTTCAATAAGTTTTGAGGAAAGAAAACGTAACATTAATTGATGACGTAATACATGCGACTCAGGAAGTGAATCAAATATGCTGTTGTAGACGACGCTACTTTAGTAGCTCTACTTTCTTCTGTTTAGTGTTTTGTTATTGTTATTTACACTCTTTTATAACTGTAAATAGAAGACAACAATTTTCATGTTATTGATCAACTAAAGTAATACAACTTCATGGCTTCCAATATAGACGATACGCCTAGAGGGAAGAAAGCGTTATCAGTTAGGGTCCATGAAATGCTGGGAGAGTCAGACAGGTTCTCAGAAGACGGGCCTTGGACACCACTCTTACGACAAGGTATCGCTTGGTCTCGTTATTATTACCCTCCGTAGTGAGCGATTTTATCTTCTATGTCAGTGATTATTATCCTATCCTCTGTGAGCGAAATACATAACCATTTCTCAAAGACAGTTTGATAATACGTTATCATAAATGCTTATTTATATGACGTCAGATTTGAGAGGTCATTATTCAACGTCATTACATTATAACGTCATCGCACATGTTTGGGACGTGACATGTTGTTGTCGTCTATTCATTGTAACAGTTCGGTGTTACGTCATAAGTGGTTGTACAAACCAGTGTACTTCAATCGATATATTCATGCGTTATCGATGTCAGAACAATTTAGTGTCATTCCAATTAACAGAATGTGTAATAAGTGACTTCTTGTATGTTTGTATACATGATACAAGATGACTGACTTTTATACTGGCTGGAATTTACTACAGCATCTTTCTGGTGTGATGAACGTCATTATACAAGTGATATCACTCATGTGTGATTTCATTAAAAACGTTTCATGCATTTCACTTCTGCATTTGATCTCAATGCAATTAGTCACATTGTTGTTAATTTCTTTTATTTTTGTTATCATTTACAACATTAGAGTGCTATACTATAATCTTATGCAGGTTAATTGTGATCGCTAAATTATTATCTGTATTACGTTAAATGACACATTGTTTCGTGACTTTTTCATGATGTAACATGCATTCAGATAATCGAATATGTTTGTTGTACTATAACAGAAAGATTCGAATGGTCTAGATGTTCCTACCTCTCTACTGTTTACTGGTAACATAAATATTGAGGCATGATGGTGTACAGCAGCTTTTCTAAATCTACAACTTTTACGTGTAGAAATAATTATATTTCCTCTTTGTATAGTCCTCTATGAATGCAAATTCATCTTCAGGAAAAAGTAAAAACGTTAATAAAGATATTTTTTTCCATATTGTATATCACAAAAGATTGCACGTAGAAACAAAGTAAGAATATTTGCTTAAGTTAACAACCATTTATATATGTCCAAATCCGCTTACATTAAATAAAATCTGATTCATTTGTAAACGTAATCCCAGCAAGATAATTTATTTTTATTGAATGTCATTTGAATAATATGAATCATTTCGGTTCTTTTCCGTTCCGTTTAAAGTTTAACATTTTTATCCTTAATAAAAATCAATTTCATTTTTATTCAATCATTAGATACATTTGATTTCTTTGAGTATTAATTGATATTTATCGTTGTTGTTTCTCCCAAAGCGTATACAAGTATATACAAAAACGAAATAAGTATCTGTATATATACATAGAGTATTACACGCGGGTTTCCTTAGTTTTGATTGGTCAATGAACCACTCCATACATTCTTGTTATTTTGTGTTATATCTGTTTCATTGTTACTTTTAAATGTGAACCTCTTTGTACGGTGCTAATGTTAAAACATCAAAAGAATGATACAACAATGTTTACTTTCATCGTTTTACTATGTACAGAATCTACTTTTTTTGGTAAGATAATTGTGATAAAATGTGTTTGTTTGGGTAAATGTAGTGTTGCTGTAATTTGGACTGACATCCGTATATACTCGACTGAAAGCATGTAGTTCTGTAACAAAATAGACGATTGGTCTCTTACAGGGAGTGCATGAGATTTTCTTTAAAACGAGGCTGTATATGGCCATTACTAAGGCAGCTTTTCTTTCATTAGATTTCAGATCCAGGGGTAACATAAATTATACTTAAACGTTCGTGATGGTATTTTGATAAATTGTGTAACAACATGGCAATATAGATGTTCCATCTTTTATAATTATCAATTAAGTAGATGCCTTTGTTAGCTGCAGATGGAATGATAATACATCTGTCCCGTTTTACCAATTGAATTCACAGTCATATATATGGTATGTGATTAATACCTAGAATCTTCTCAAATGTAACCTTCTTTAATTCAATCACATATCTTGTGTTTCAAAATGTTTTTTGCTGCTTTAAAAAAATAAAGTTTGACGTTAATAAAACAATTATTAGCATTTCAACAGTGCAGTTTTCAAGCCGTTGCTATTACCTCTTTGGCTGTTCCTAGCTTTTAGCTACATCTTTTGCAAACCGTATGGACTCCAGTCCAAATTAATACGCAATACTAACTTTACCTGTAAGCACATGTACGTTCTTCATGCATACTGTCGTTTTACACAGAAAACCTAACACAATTGATTCGGTGCTTTATAGAGTAGAAAATTTAGACATAGATGAAATAGAATTCGCGCTCATATCTGAGTGGTTGATTTATGAATATTGTATTCGGTAAAGGCGGTTATAGTGTAGTAATTAAACAAACATTTTGGCTTGTAGTTTCCATTTTGGAAATAGAAATTAGTAAATGCGATTCAGTCATATTTTGACTGGTGATGCTTATGGTATGTGTGAAGAATAATAACACAACACATGTTTGGCTTATGTGATTCTTATATAAATGACATTTTGTATTTGTTTTGAACGTCTATTGTCAGCAAATATACCCGAATAAAATATGTGTATTAAGTTTGCTTTATATCTCTTATTTGAAATGTAGTGCATGTGATTTGATTATATTATAACAGAAATATTTATTTCGAAAGTTATTCATTACATTGTGTTGAAATATTTAAAAAAAAAAAAAATATGTTAACAGTATTTTAAAATTAAACCGTTGAAGATTGTATGCCCGTATTTCCAATGTTATTTATACCAGTAAGCCATAATTGCTAATTTAACAATGCAAATAAGTCGTGTAAACGAAGAAGAGGATTAGCAGAAAGAAAAGCACGTGGTGAGGAGGGACTAATGGTAATGAAATAGTTTTTGAGGAATCAGAATGCATGTAAGTATACTGTGTACGGACGGTTAAATAAAATGTGTGATTAATATGTGTATGTGTGTATCATATCGTGTGTGTGTGTTCAGTTATGAGATCACAGTGTGTAATGGGTTGTTATACACAGTCACCATCACGACAAAATCAGCAACATTTAGCCGCATTACGTGTGTAATAACCGACGCTTGCTGCTAGTGTTTTAACAAAGAATCCTTAACATCAGCGAGTAGTTGTCCATTGTTCCCTTAACTTGCATGTATATGCACCTGGCAATTTGCATTGTTCAATTCTTTTCCCCGTCTTTCATTGTATATCTCTTCTGCTATCAAGCTTAATGATTTTGAAAAAACCCATCAGACACGATAGCGTGTGTGTTTTAGCACAAACAACTACAAATCAATCTATATTATCACAATGGGCTTGATATCGGAAGTACTGAACCTATCCATCATATCTACCCTTCTAACATGTTTGAATATCGCTTCACTGACATACTCATTCCGACTCTTGCGCTATTTCGTTATTTTGATACAGATGTTTACGCCTATGACGATGTATATCATATACTAAATGACATATCTAAATATAGGTACTCAGCCTGCTTACCTGCGTCGTTCCCGAACCAATGTCTCCAAGTTTGAAAATGCCATGCCAAGAAGTTACACGTCAGTGCACGGCCGTCCGGATAGAGATCTGAAGTAAGTCACTCTCTAAAATACATTCAAATGAAGGACTATCAATTGAAAGTAGGTTCTGATTGCCTGTATACGATGGTCTATTTACCTTGTAGAGTGACTCCAAAAGCAGAAAATGTCAGACGAGTCGACATACCTTCAGCGGGTGCAGTACCTAGAATACCCCAGTCGCGGGGACGATCTGGAACTAATCCGGACCCTGGAACTATAGAAATTCCGGAAACGACAGAAAATATGTAAGTTATCAAATGGGAAAAAGTCACATAGTATAAACAGATGAATGCCGATGTGGTTTGATTGTATTATGTGACTTTGGCAATCGGTGAGATGTTAAGTACTTATACAGAATAATCTAAAAATGCATTGCCGTGACCTTTCGCAACACAGTGAAACCTGCTTTAACCTACCACAACAACGCCTGCTGCTGATTTTTTTTTTTTAATTTATTTATTGAACAAATCAGATTGACACAAAAATTAAAGAATTGAACAAATTTCAAATTATGACTTTGATAGGATTCCGGATTATGTAAGATTTTAATATGGAAGATAAAACTCCATGTAAAAAACAATCCAAACGTGAATTGTTGACTAGAATACACGTCAGCATAATCTTATCATGAATAAAAGTATAATGATTCTGTTTTATTAACATTAACATGAGTCGACAATTGAATTTTGCGAAGTCTTTCTATGCGACTCTCCATGAGAGAATACTGTCATGCTAAAATGTCAATTTTTTGGGCGTTTCCCTTTCACAGAGAGCATGACGACCCTGCCTCTATGGAGGCATACGAGGACTTGACGGACCGTCAGAAGATGATGGCCAGCAGGACCTCCAAAACTGCCAGTCCTGTTAAACCGCCCGCCACTCCAAATCCTTTACGGGTAAGAGACCATAGGGTAAAAAAGTGTTTTACTGGTAAATTATTCAAACACTTATTTCAAATGTGTGTATTTCTAGAACAAAATAAGAAAGTTTAACAAATATTTAGCATAGCATTTGCAAAATGTATTATTTCACTTTAAACGTGAGACTAAAATTGATACGTAAATATTTGTTACAATTCAACACCATAAAGCAATACAACTAAAACGCATTGTCGGAAGACAATGTCATGCTAATAGAGGTGACTAAAATGTATTTAAAGTATAGATACGCATTAAATTTGTTATGACGAGACAACTGACTATTGTATTATTCCAATACAAAACAGGGAAGTGAATTACCACAGATGATTCCAGAAACGGAACGTAGCGAACTGCATGCAACATTTAAGAAATTAGATACAGATTCCGACGGGTACGTATAACTCTATGCTATTGCCAAAATGAATTTGTTTTCAAGTTTTATTTGCGCTACTTGTGTCTGAATGATTACACATATTCAGGAAAATGTAAATTAGCTTATGATGAAGCGAAACGATGTTCTGGAAGTGTTATATGTTAGAAAAGCTGTCTAACATGAATTAACGATCCCGAGTATAACATTTTAAAGTTGCATAAGATATCAAAATATTCTTCTTAATAAAACAACATTTCATATTTTACGTAATTCAGAATGACAAGCTGCAAGAAAAATGAAAATGACATTTTTATGTAAATCAGAATACGTTATCATGTTAATGAAATTGTATATTTAAAGTAAGTTATTCAGGATAAATATGTGTTAAAAAAGGGATAATAATACCTCAAAATCAGGACTCAAAATCGATAAATAAAACGTAGGGACTACGGAGTAACCAAAACAACACGTCCTAAAACTCAACAAAAACAACTCGTCCTAACACTCAACTAAAACATCACATCCTAACACTCAACAAAAACAACACGTCCTAACACTCAACAAAAACAACACGAACAGAAACTATATGTAAGAGGTAATGTGTAGAGCTAGTTTTACCTCGACCACATGTGAAGTTGTAGACTAGATAAACAACTAACTTATTAGTCAAAGTCGTGGTAACACGAGAAGATGACTTATGTAAGGAGGCGACAACTATTTACCCGCGAAATCGGTTACATATATATGGTTTGCAGGTAGCTATCGATTCGCATATATTTCACAATTTCTAGTATCATAAATATTTGTATTTCTTAACAGGCATTTAAAGTTTGACCAGCTACAAACACAGTTGCCCAAACAGATGTCCCAGCAACAGGCGCGCTTTTTAAAGGAGGTATATAACATGATTATGTATTTCATAATACAAATATCAAAATGTTAAGATATATAAGTTTGAATAAAATTAAAAATAAAATAATACGACAATTTCAAAGTACGAACTTAAGATATTTTGTTTTTAATTTCAGAATTATAATAATAGTTAAACTTAAGGAAGTAAACTACTGTCGTAAGAACAATTAAAACGTTATAATATTTCAATAGGTTTACGACATTACAAGTTCCAATACGTTCTTCGGTGTGGATGAGTTCCTGTTGATGTCTTCCCTAACCAAACTAGTGACAAATATGAGGTAAGAAGCACAGTAACACTTGTTTGACACATTTCGAATATATCTTTATTTCACTTTAAATCAATTACTACATATTGTCTTTTATCCAAACAATAGTGTAAAAACTGTCTTTAAAAAAGGATTAATGTTTAGCGTCAGCATGTTTACCTTCTCAATTTAACTTTTGCAGTACCTCTCTCCAAGCTACCTTCCAAATGTTGAACTTCAACAGCTTAAAGGTTGATATAATAGCTTTCGTGGTAAGTGTCATGTTCTAATCTTATAAATTCCGTCAAAATGAGCGGATTTCCTTCCTTCACAAACTTTGCACAACATTATGTTAGGTGCTACATAATGAATATCACAGCTATTGGACCGCCGGTTCGTTATAAATATCTTTTAAATATGTCCAGTATTTTACATGTTATCCCTTAAGGAGCCCCGATTGAGGAAGTTGTCAACATAAAAAGGGAAACCTCCTATCAAATCTTGTTGTTATCGGTCTAGTCGCCCTTGAAAAGTAGTCAGTAAACAGTTTAAAGACTGAGGACGGACAGTGTATATAAATTACGATAGTGATCAAAGCTGTAACAGTAGATTTATTATATAAACAATCGGTTTTATGATTACCTTTTTTCTGTAGGAAATCTTCCAATCAGTGGACAGAGGTCAGAAGGGAAAGATTTCATTAGATTCTCTCCGTGAAGTGCTGAATGGAATACTGGGTCGAGATCTCGAAAGTGACACTGCCCTCTGGAACAAAATCGTAGAGACTGTCAACCCTGTAAGTCAGAAATTATAGAAAGGTTCTATTAGAAAACATTGAACGCATTAAATCAAAATAACAGGCAAGACGATAACATGTTTCATACAGATATGCACCTATGTTATTTATCGATGTTTAATAGGATTACCTTTTTATTTCAGAGTGAAGCCATCCAGATCACGAAGATAGAGTTCCTGGCCTACATCCCTTACTTCATGTCGTTGAAAGAGTCTTGATGTGGCGTCTTCATTGATCATTGACATTCCGCAACAGAACCACAGTAGGACATTAAACTCACGAAGACAACTAATCACTTTCTGTGTGATAAAGATAAAAGATCGTGTTTAGTCGTGAACTTTATAATGGCAGTAGCCTACAGAAAACCAACAGTTATATTACATAACAGCATAACCATTTTTACAATCTGCCTTGGAGAAAGACTATGGTGTTGAGTAACGCGCTACATAATGGTGAAGGTCTTCTGGATACGTGTGTGGCTACTTCTCTACCGATCAACGGCTACGTTTACATGTTTCTTCATTCAACATGAAATAGGTCCGATCTCAAAACACACAGTAGTATTGTTGAACATCACAAATGCTTTTCTTGAAAAATAAATATTAAACACTCTCTTTCATGACAGAAGTAATTGCTATAAACCTGTATCTGTCCAGTTAACTGTGTCAGCGGTACCGTGTACCGGTATGTTACTTGAGGAGATAAAGTGATACTCGTTTTAGTAATAATTGTAACATAATTATTGTCCTCTCTCAACAACATTCTGTGATCATTGTTCATTTTCTAGTCATATATATATTTACTTGCATGCTTTGTTGAAATGTTATTGTCCACATTCCAATGTCATTCTACGCTTACATCACCAGACTTAGATTTTGTTTTACAAATATGTCTGTATGTGCTTTGTTTTGTCCTAAATTCAGTTTCAACATTCTTCGTTAGCATATAAAGACACACAGGGTAAGCTTTGAATCATTGATAAAGAAGTAAATGTGAAACACCATGCATTTATTGCTCTGTGATTTAAAATAACCTCACCACACCAAAGCCTGTTGCAGAAAATAATTTCACTGTGATGTCTCTAATCAATGCAGGCAAATTAGATTAACTTGTTACAAGTGGTAACACCAAAGATACCATTTCATCAATTAGTTGCGTGCTCGTAATGCTAACCAAACCCTATACTGATCCTAAAGCTTAGAAGCAGCTTATAAAGATGTTTATTTTAACGTATCAAGATATAAGCTAAAATCTGATAGTTTAGTATGTTATATCGTTCTCTAGACATAATCTTGACGGTGTGAGACTTAAAACTCCACGACGTACAATGTACTAGTGTCACCCAATATCAACCATGGTCAAACTATCATAATATTCTTATACATTTCCCAATATTCGACATAACCATTTGATAGGATTTTAAAGTGAATCTGCTTTAAAATATGCATCAAGTTTCTGTATTCAACGTTGCATTCAGAAGCTTGATCCATTTTCCCATAGTGTCTTTCTATTTAAGCATTGTACATCGCAATATATTTATTTAAAACGTTTCCCATTAACATAAATCCAATACCAATACGATTGCATCAGCTGTCTACACGTGTGATTATGTAGTAATCATGACTAACACAAATTAATTTTGTTCGTCATGGTTTGAACTGTTTTAGTTGCTATATCGACATGATTGTATCTATCGAATTAGTAAAACACATAACAAGGTCATCGCCGATGGTCAACGTATATATAGTTAATGTGTCTTATATGTATCAGTTGGAATAAAATTGTTTCACGCTCTTAAGTAATCTTGTTTTTATAATTACACATATTTAAACCCTTAATTAAGAATGTTTTTCTGTTACACACAAGACTGACGATTTTCATGTTTTTGCACAGTTTCAAAATACATTTCATCACAAACGTATGTGCTACATGGGATATCAAAGTTAAGACAGGCAGTCAGAGGTACGGGTAATGTGTTTATCCATTCCGCCCCTTAGTGGATGTTAAAAATTGGTTGATTCACCTTACCTTCTAATCCAGATGGATTCTTTGATTTTGCTCAGTTACCAGTTGCACTCCCTATTGTATTGTTTCTACGATGTCTACCTTTATTTCTAGCGTAGACTTTCTGTCCATTGCTTCAACCTTTCTGATGTTTCTTAAGACGTGTCCAAGAATTCCGGCCAGTTTCAACAGTATATGTATGGTTTTAGCTGTTACATAGAAATTAGTCAACCATCCCTGTTTTGGCTTCCTTCATCAACTCATGTTTCGGATACAATTATAGTTGTTTGATGTTATTTTGTGGTAGGATCTCTTGTTGAAAATGATTCAGACCCTCCTACTATGTATGGTATAATGACCATGCCGTTTATTGTTTCTCCTTGTTGGTACGTTTTGGTTTCTTGAAGCCATTATCCTTGCTTTCCCCCCATTTTTTCTACATTCCTTATCGATCATTCGGGGTATCCACATTGTCTGGGCCTGTTTGATGTATTACTTTATATTTTCCATGTCCTCCTATCCAGGACAGTGCATACTACCTCCAACTTCTGGTGCAATGGGTGGCGTGAACTGAAGTTGAGGTCTGTGTCAGTCGTTTTCTGTATATCAGTAATTTGATGAACACTTCAACCCTTTTTACAATAAGGATATTCAAGAAAGAAATGTGACCGTCTGCCTCTTCTTCTGATGTAAATCTTACCAGCGGAGCCTTTGGCATCAACCTGGTTTAGGCGATTTGAAAGTTTGCTTATCTCACCTTTTTTTTTTACTTCCTTTTAGATAGCAATAGATCGTTGTCATAGTTAAGGACGGAATTGGTAAACATATTATCCGTCCCATCGTCTTATCTATTTATGTTTCAGCTTTTTTTTGTAAATATTTTTACACCACAATCAAAATAAATATATAAAGTAAATTGGAAAAAACTATCATGAACATCTTTGGCTGTAAACATTATAGATTATCAATAAATTCCTGAATTATGTTTCCTTATTTTTACAAAATGCGTTTTGTGCAATGTAAATGAACTATTTTTACCACTGTACGACATTGCAACTTTATAACCTAACGACAAAATTCAACAGGAAACAACCTGTACAGGTACAGGAAACAATCTGTACAGGTACAGGAAACAATAGTCCTGCTGTATCCGAATGCATGTCGTAAGAGCCGACTAATATGTGTCCCCTGCAGAATCGGACATTTTCTTCAGTGTCTCCTGCTCATGATCAGTGGACATTGCTTAGAGACCAAACTTCATGTGCTTCCCCATTGCAATATTTCGGAGTCGATATCTTTCCTTTTGTCTCTCTTCGTTATTGTCTCCTTTAGCACCCGTCTTAATGTATTCAGGACATTAAACCCCAAACATCGGTACGAAACCAATCAGAAACCATTCGTAATTTCCGTCAAATTAGGACGTCTCTGGTTGAAAACATTGAAGTAGTTCTTTTTGTTGATACTTTCATAATGATATTTTAAGTTCGTAGTTTTATCTTAAGGTTGCACAAGGAATCTTCAACCTGTTGAAGGAGGCTATTACCAGGCAGAAGCAAGGAAAATAGAGGTTCCCCATCGAGTGATGGTTTGTTATCACGTTTATCTTAACTCGCGTAAGTTAATTATCAAATTGTATAGACACCAAGTGTTAACCTCATCTCCCACAACGTTCCTATTCCGTCTTTGCGTATTGCAGAGTTATCTTCTCTTGAGAGCAGGTATTGATTGTTACGTCATTTGTTTGTGAGAGTAACGTCATCAATTTTTGAGAAAACGACGTAATTTTCTCACACGAACCAATGACGTAACAATCAATACCTGCTCTCAAGAGAAGATAACTCTGCAATACGCAAAGACGGAATATCACATCTAGAACAACATATATGTTTCTTGGGAATATATTATTCCTGTTTCGATCGGGGAAGCAATGAATCATGAAATATGACGTCACAATGGAAGATGACGTCGCAAAGCATTGTTACATGACGTCATAATTAGAACATTGCCCAACGAAGTTACCCACTATTTGAAAACCAAAAACGTTTATCAACACAAAGAATGTTTATCATATGACTGGTTCTAATTCCCAGCCCTGATTGGAGGAACGACGTCATGTGACGAGTCTGTAATCATGTTACAGACCTTGGTCTATGAATAGAAAAGTGTTACAGACCTCGACCTATAAATAGAAAAGTGTTAAAGACCGCTACTAAAAATAGACCTTTGTAATTTCCCAGCCATCGATTAACAGCCAATTGCAATCTTATCATCTGCTACAGACCTCGTTCTATGAATAGAAAAGTGTTACAGACCTCGACCTATCAATGGAAAAGTGTTGCAGACGGCTAATAAAAATAGGCCTAGGTTATTTCCAAGTCAGTTTGTAATTCTGTTACCAATCACACTGCTGAATTCAACTACAAATGAAGTATCTCATCAAATTCTGAACTATGTGAATTTTGATGTCGATTGTGCAAATAATATTTACTTGAAATTAAACATCACATGAATTGAACCTGAAATTCAATTTTTGTGTATGGTATTTTATTTTTGAAGTCCTTCACTCTGTGATTACAAAATGGTCCATGCCATCCATATGTTTACGACCTAACAAATTATTAATCTCATTGTAAAATGTCATATAACAAAACAATTGTGGACTTCAGTTTCGGTCTATCCCTGATTTACGGACCTTGTCAGAACAATATTCACCTCGGCCTTCGGCTCTGGGAATGTTGTTCAGACCAGGTTCGTAAATCAGGGATAGACCTCACCTGAAGTCCATAATTGTATGATATACTTTCTTACATTGAAATAAGATCTGCACCATTCTAAGAGTGGTTATCTGACATGTTTTAAAAAATGTAGGAGAAAATTTCCTGACAAAAAATCAAATACTGAAATGAACAAAGGACAAGAACTTTTGCAAAAATTGTCATATCAAAATTCTTTTAAGGGAGACACAACTTCATGTCATGATTATAATGTATACCAAGTTTCAAAGAGATCCATTGAAAAATGTAGGAGGATATTGCTGGACAAATATCAAATACTGAAATAAACAAAGGGCAATAACTTTTGCAAAAATTGCTGAATCAAAATTCTTTTCAAGGAAACACAATAATATATTATTTTTATTTAGCCTACTAAGTTTCAAAGAGATCCATCAAAAAATGTAGGAGGAGATTTCCGGACAAAAAATCAAATACTGAAATGAACAAAGGGCTATAACTTTTGGAAAAATTGTTGAATCAAAATTCTTTTAAGGGAGACACAACTTCATGTCATGATTATAATGTATACTTACTTTCAAAGAGATCGGTCGGAAAAAGTAGAGGAGATTGCCGGACAAACAAAAGTTTACGTCGGACAACCCCATTTCATTCTACTTCCATCAAATTTTACGGGCGTATAAAAACAAAAAAATCTTGCTAAGCAAGATAAAAATAATTCATATTGGTAGCCCATTGTCTGCTTTTTTTCTTTTTCATTTTTAACTATAACCACTGCCAAAATATTGGAAAAAAGTCTGCTTATTCTCATCAATGCAATAACATTGTACATAAGGAAATTATGTGAAAAAAGCATCAAAGAAAGCATGTAAGAAAATTTGGTTTTTATTGAAAACTGTATGAAAACAGACAATCTAGGGTATCATGCAGGACCAACCTGAATACATTCCTCAGCAGCAACATACAAACCACAACACATACATACCATTGATAAACACATGGAGAGAAATTAAAGACATACAAACCACAACACATACATACCATTGATGAACACATGGAGAGAAATTAAAAACATACCGACTTATTTAAAGTGTTATATTCAATCGATTGGTAAAGCATGTTGTCTGGGATTATTGAAGTGATCTATAAATCTTATCATGTATGTTTTATACCTGTACTAAAACATTTTATAACAGTATTAAAGTGATAAGGTGCCAAATAAAACAGGACCAAGTCTTTCAGCACCTGTACCATAATTATATTACAAACGTCTTTACCAATTATGATCTAGTATATCATTAGTGGTTTTGAGATGTTTGTAATACGGGTATGAGATGTTTGTAATACGGGTATGAGATGTTTGTAATACGGGTAGAGTACCTTTATAAGATACTTTTCTTAATCAAATTTAAAGTCGTGAGTGTAATAACATATAAGTGAATCAGATTTAATATAATTCATAATACAATGTGTACTGAGAAACCAAGGAAAACAACAACAACAATGATTAGATTTCCACTTACAGCAAATAAAAACTAGTATATATATATATATTCACAGAACTCTTCCGAAAGCACCAACATCAGAATTAATTTATTTAACAAATACGGTTTTGAAAACAGGCCATACTGTGTAAATGTCAATGCTCAATCTTGCTCAAACCTCACAAACAAGCCATTTATAAATATCTTGGTACATGTATTGCTAATTATCTATGTTGCTCATGTGCATTTAAATAACAACGATGCGTATGTCCCCATCTCATTAATCACTATCATAATTCATTGGTTACACTTTTACACAGCTAAAATATTTTTGTTTAGTATCCTCAACATCTTTATCAGATTTCAATGTGAATTACATACAATTCCAGGTAAAACGTTCAATGTATTTCTGAGGATTATCAACTGTCAAAGAGTTGAAGTTAAAAAACATACAGATCAACCATGGATTAAAACATACAGATCAACCATGGATTTTTTTAAATAAAGCAATGGCAAGAAGGTCTCAAAATGTATGTACTAATATCCTGATGTAGAGTATTTATGATACCAACCACCTCATGCTTTGCATTAATGTTTTAATGAAAAATTCAAATATTAACTACTAAACATAAAACACACAAACACAGGTAACAGAATTGCGTATACCAAGTACAAACCTAAAAAGAACCATAACTTCAATCCGTCTATTATAAATCTCCTATTCATTTTTTGAAAATCAAGATTAATGAGATTGCACTTTTACATCCAAGTGCACCCAAATAAAAAAAATATAAATGAGCAAAATTTTCTTATCATTTTCACACACAACACACACAAATCTAATGTACATTTAAAAATACACTGTATAAGGGTTGTAGCTACTACATGTTGAATATCAAATGCTGGAACATTACAGTTTGATTGGAACTTAAATAGTTATTGTATAAACTGTAGCTACCTCAGAAGATCATGACATTTTTAAAACAATAAGAGTAAAATACCTATGCACCAATTTTTACCAGCCAAAGGGATTCATGATTCCTGTCTCATTAATTTTACAAAAGCTTTAAGTAGTTTAGTGTCTCCTTACACTATTCTACTATATACAGACCTCAAAAAGTTACTTTGTTTAATTGAAGTTATTTCCTCAACAATAATACAAAGGTAATTATAGGTTGAGGGCCCTTTTAGGGAGTTAAAACAATTTGAAATTGTCCTCAGTATAGCTACAGATAAGTATTACAGGTAACAGATATCCTGACCATTGACACAGTGGTTGAGCTCCCTACTTTATAACCATGACGTCCAGGGATCAAAATCTCATAGCAGAGCCAAACTATTTTGTGAAATAAGGAATAAGGATAAATTTATTTTTATATTTTACTCAAAAATTAGCAAATAATTCAAGTAAAAAAGAATGACTAACAAATTAGAAATACCAAAGAGCACTAACACATGATTGGGCCACTCTACCTCAAAGGAAGCTACTGACAATTTGTGACCAGTAGATACAATGTTTTTTTCTCAATTTGCCTACTCATACAAATAAATATATCTATAGGTAAAAAAAAAATAAGATTGCTTTACCATTGTTTATTATCTAATTTTAACACGCTTTTGGATACTGCATGCCTCAAGTTAGAGTAGGTACCTGAATTCAAGGCTATACAGCTTACAAGAAACATGAATATTCAACATGACCTAATATTCTATGAAATATAAATAATACGTACAATCTAGGGGATTACACAAATAAGATATACTGTATACAGAAATCTATAACTTTTAACATTACTGTGATGGTAACTTAATTATTTTAGCTATAGCTCACAGTTTTCGCAGTAAAAAAAATTAAGTACATTTTGTATGTTCTTTCAGAATGAAAACATTATGACAAGAATACAGTATTAAAACAGACATTTTGAAAACATAAAAAAAATTGCAACCCACTCAATCTTGCGAAATCTAGAATCACTCTAAGAAAACAATTCCTGTTTCTATCATTCTGTGATTACCTAAGAGGAACATTTTGTCATTTACACAAAATATAAGTTTGTATGTATGACAGTATTTTGTTCAGTGTAAATGATAGCAGTACTGAAATTAACCTGACTTTTTAGACCTAGATTGTACAATTTTATGCTGAAATGATCCTCAATTAAAATGCATATTTAAATATCATTTTACTAGATTTTTTGGTTATTTCCCGAACAATTATATTCATTCATGAAAATCACTTCTAAAAGATCATCATAAGAACAAAATCATGGAGCAACAACATTTTTTTTTTAAATTTAAAGTGAAAAAATATGTTAAGTACCAGGTATACATAAAGATATTTTTTTGCCCCCCGTTATATGAAGATAAAAGTTAAGAAGAAATTTTTGAGTAGTAGTAGATTCCAAAGGCTGTACATGTAAACCAGCTTGCTCCCACCCACCACACCACGAAGGCCAGGAGTCCACGATACCACTGGGGAGAGAATACCAGTCTCAGGTTTGTCATGGCCCAGGAGAATTGGGCGACCGCCTCTGTCACACTGTCTGGCTCGTTAATAGGTGTAGTAGCATTGGTAGGAGCAATGTTAGCCTTTCCTACACTGAGGGATGTAACATAATCCTCCACACTCTCTCCAAACATGGCCGACCAGGAGAAGTCTCCAAGAGTCTTTTGTAAAAATGTCAGAAACAAAAGTAATACTAGAGGGGTTATATACTGCAGTGCCACAACACAGAGATAATAGAATACACGAGCCACCATCTTTTGTAGGTCTCTACTGTTAACTCGACCAGTTTCTTTCTTCAGATTCTCCAGTCGAATGTAAGCAACATTAAGATGGCTTTGTAGATGTGGTGTCAGGAGACAAAGACGTAATACTATGAAAATAACAATCAGACTGATTCTCCAAATTTCAAACATTGGCTCATTCATTAGTTGATATGTCACTTTCCAGTGCTTTGCACATATGACGTCTCTCCCAATAGGTTTGAACCACATCAATAGGATGATGATGGGCATAACAAAATTCAGTTGTAAAAGTGCTTGCATGACTCGCTGTTCTTTGTAGTATTTTAATGTGTCAAGATGTAGTTTTGCATAGCGTAGTCCGGGAAATGTTAAAAGTGCACCTATAAAAGAACATAGAAATGTCAAGATGATTTTGAAGGTCAAGAATGATACAGGTCCATGAGATTCTAGCCCTTGTTCTTTTAGAAACTGTGTTGCACTTTCCGAAAAATTGCTGTATCCCTCCTGCAATCCAAGTTCCAATGTACCCGAGTCAATCACTAATACTCCCATAGCAACTACCAGAAAGAAGAAACCAAATGTAACGCATAGGATCTTCTCTCCACCCTCGTCCGACTTAAAATACATGGCTGTCTGGGCAACTAACAGCCGCAGACAGAATCCTACTGCTAGGAGACACCAGAGAATACTGATATTCATTTCTGACCTCTGACCTAAGGTGAAATAGATCTCTGTTAATATGTACACAACTACTGCCGATACTGAAAAATCCATAAGCCATTGATACTCGTCGTAAAACTTCAGCTGTAAGAGATCTATAAGTTCCACTGGAGCAGTATCCAGTTCAAGAGGAATGCTCCTTGGTACAGAGAAACCTTCAGCATTTCCAGCACCAGCCTTATCCTTACGATTATCAAATTTTCTGTTTTTAGCCTTGTTTGGTGCAGTTGAGGAAGCCAGGCCAGCAACCTCTCTTATTTGAGCATCGGTAGGATGTAAAAAACGGAATAACTTCCCACACAGAAGCCATCGCCCAAAGGAGAAATGTTTTGCCAATTTCTGCAAAAGGCTAAAAACGATGAGACTGAACACAAGCTGGGCTCCAAGGATGGTCATCTTTACTTCCTGTTGACCAAAGACTTATCTGAAATAAAGAATCAAAGTAATTATTCCAAAGGGAATTAACTCTGAACAGGTTACAGCTGCACCCCTGTATATAATTACAAAGTAACATGAACTCAGAGTGACATCAAAATTAACAGTATAACACATCTGGACCTTATCTTTGATTAGTGTACAACTGTTCCAATTATTTATTTTCTCAGCGCATTGGAGACAAACTATATTCTATTTTTAAGGTGACCACCCATTACCTTAGCATTTAACTCTTTTCTTTTATCAGAAAACATATGTAATGGGAGAAGAAAAATGCACAGCCAAAATGGGATTTGAACCTGGAACGTTAACCCTTTGAACTATAGCGGACAAATTGAGCTACCTTGTCACCAACAATCGATCGATCCATTCCAGTTCAACTACATACATATAGGTTAAAATGAGTTTGGTGTCGTCACAAATGTTGATTTGTATATAATTATAACAGAAATGACATCTTAAAGTGACAACAACTTCATTCAGCTTATTGCTTCACTGAAACTACAGTTTTTAGACCCCCCCCCCCCCTCCCCCGTCATGATGAGCTTCATTTACGATGTCCTTGAAGCGATATGAGTGTAACGTAAGTGCTGTAATAGTATAAAATTTCCTCGAATTATACTAAGAGGTGCGTCTTATAGAGAACATGATATGGGTGGCTACAGTTGATCGATATTTTTTACCATGTAATCAGCAAATGTAGTTTCGAAATTAGGGCCAACCGGGAACCAGAAGATCACTCCAAGTATGTAAACACAAAGTTGGGGAAAAGCTCTACGTATTATTGTATAGATTCAACTATAAGTGCTTAAGTGAGCCGAATATGCCGGCTGCCCTGTCGAAATTTGCCGCAGGAAAAAGACCCCTGAATACTGTTTTTCACAAAAAAATACATATGCTAATAAGCTCTTAATATAGCTCTGCATATTAACAGGAGAAGAACGTAACGCAACTTAAATTAGGTGTTACGAAATGAAAATAACGTCCTTGAATAATCACCTTTACATCAAGTTAGGCCCAGCCTCAATATGCCATTCACTTCGCCGGCACATGTGCCGCTTATACCGTTACTAATTCATCCCGCGTATATCAACACAAATAAATAAAAGTTTACTTCTTTTTTTTGCTTTAGTTTGCTTTATTTTTTTGTAGAAAAATAAAAGTGTTTAATATAAATAAATCCTGTTTATGTACTCTATCACTGGTAGGATTATGACAAAAGAAAATGTTTGATTTGGGTACAATTAATGAAATATAAGGGAAATAACTCCTGCGCGTTTAATTCAAATTAAATTAAATCACTCATTACAAAAGATTACGGTGAACCTTACAAAATGGGAATACTAATTTCCGGTAAAGATGTGTATATGAGATATATATGGTCTCATTGAGGGTTGCTATAATAAAAAAAAATCAAACAATTTTGAAAGCGCAGTGCCTGAATAACAGGCAAAAGGAGATCCGACATTTTTTCAAGACTGAAAGGTATACCACTGTTTTTCACATCTGCAAGCTTAAGCTTCCATGTCTTGTGAAAGAAAAAGAGAGGAGAGGAAACATAGCTACAGAGTTTTAAGATCTTTATATCCCTAGCTCCAAAGACTCTTTAAAAATGTCTGCTCAAGAGCATAATGGAAGAACTTTGTTTCTATAGATTATAATAGGCCTCGATCTCCTCCAAACAATTTTGATATATAAGAAAATCACATGTTTATAACAGGGTTCTGGATGTTCTGCCTGATGGCTTATACTATCTTTATTTCAAATATACAGAAGATATATCTGTTTATATTTTTATTTCAAAGCAAAATACAAACAATTATGTATATAAGCTACAAAGTAGGATTTTGTATGAAAAGCATATTCATATTCTCAGCAGCAACATCTAAATCAACAATCAAAGTACTGCATCAATGATTGGTGCTTTAGAAATTAGCTTCAAGCACATCTATGCTTACAATTGAGTCAGACCTGCAGATAAAATGTGTGCACTTTTGTATCAGTAACAAAAACATGTAGTTTCTGCATGTGTAAATGAGAGGCAAGACAAATTCATTCTGATGTACATGTACTACTGACAGTTTATTTTGTTACTCATCAGATACAGGAGGATAAGAACACAGTATAAAAGGCAGAGGTTTTATCAAAATACAGTAAATGTGATGGTTTCTGTTGTCAATCTCACACAAAATCATACATAATGTTTGTTCGTTTAAGTTTCTTGATTGTTGGTTAGATATAAGTTTGAGTATTCATCACAAGGTTGAACATGTTTTGTCAAGTAACATTAATATTACTTACATCTAAAAAACAGAAAAATCAGTGTTATGTGAATTTTTCTATTTCTACAGAGATACGCAAAATTTCTGTTTTAAATATTGCAGACATTGAGAGGTTAAAGGTTATTCAATCCCAGTAAGCAGTACAATAATATAAAGGTTAAAAATATAAAAGTATTTTGACATAAATTAAATCAGCTTATTACTGCCAAAAATAATTTTCAGTCATCAAATCAATAAATTTTATATTGACATATTAATATGTGACTCCAGTTGACAGTTTTCTTTATGATCCAGCTAAATTAAATCAGCTTATTATTGCCAAAAATAATATCCTTTCAGTCATCAAATCAATACAATTTTACATTGACATATTAATATGTGACTCCAGTTGACAGTTTTCTTTATGATCCAGCTAACTTCAGCATCAAGTGCAGAGAATGGATTTATTTTGAATACAATCTTGCATTGTTCCTTTATTTGAAACAAAAGTCTGTTTACCCTGCAAAAACCTACTTCAGTGTTTCCTTTATACAAGACATAAAGCAACATAATACCTTAACATATCAAGCCCGGAACTCGCGAAAATCTTCTATTTGTTTTATTCTATTTCAAAGTAAAGACTCAGAGAGCAAGTTACATAGAAACGTAGATTACCACATTTTTAATAAAATAGGTTACATATAAAATACATTCATCTGTTTCAGAATTGTCATGTTCGGACACTATCTTATACAATAAAATCTCTCTAACAACTTAACAATACAAACATCTAGGAAAATCCATATACATGTTTCGTCATAATTATGTATGTGTGAAAATATTAACGAACAGCAAATGCATAAATAAAAAAATAACGATTGAAACTAAATGTACTTTAAAACCGTAGGGCATTCTGCATTTGATTTCAGCTAAACCTACTTCATCGCCAGTTTAATTGTAAGCCAAACCTACTTCATTGCCAATTTAATTGTAAGCTAAACCTACTTCATTAATGCCAGTTCAATTGAAAGTTAAACCTGTACTTCATTGCCAGTTGAATTGCACATATTTCTTAAATCACCAATATCTAGGAAAAGGTTTCAGAGTTCCATTATAAAAACATGATCCTTACCTGTCACTATACACACAATGATGAGGTTTCAGTGTCAAAATAAATATCATTAAAATCATAAACACCAGGGTTTATGATTTATTTGTTAGTGGTTAATAAACCTGAAATAGCTTTGCATCTGTCACTACAGTATCAACAAAAAGGAATTTTTTAAGTAATTACTATCATAGTTAGGTATATTGCTAACATGGTATGGAACAAACCTGCATATTAAAGTTTTAGATCAAAAATATCTTGAACATCTGATAGAGTACAAAATGTTAATTGCAAAACAGAATCAAAACAAACTGATTTGCTATAGCTTAACCTAAATATACAATTTTGAACAGTAGGGAAATGTATACCCGGTACTGATCATTCAACTGTAGTTAACTTGTAAGTTCTAAAATGTATGATTTATTTTTGACAGAGATATTTGATATCTTTTAAACAGAAGATTGAAGAAGCTACATATATTGTCTGTTGACAGCTGTACTATATATTATGTTCTTGATCCAATTTAAATCTGGGGCCTGTTCATTTAAGTGGAACAACGGTTTGTCAGTTTTTAAATGTAATATTTTCGGGTATAAATCCTGATGGACCTGCAATTAGTTATGCAGGCCTTGAAAGGCTTTGTCAAGGCTCACCTGAAAGCAGCATCAGATTACAAGGTCGGACCGCATTTCAGAAACGATATAACTCTGGTCCAACTGGTTCAACCATTTGGATCACTATAAATGAAAGCGGCCCCAAGTAATGACAAAAGGGAGATAACTCATATCTATAACTCATTGTATTCTGTTTTGCAATTTAATAATTTTGTAATCCATAACAACTAGGTAGCTTGTACTATGAACGTATCACACCTCCATCTCACATTGCTAATAATACAACAATATGATGACTTTGGTGTCAGGCTCAGGGAGGCTACAATCCTTCTTGTGTCTTAACCCATACAAAAATTTCAGAGAAACTGTTATTAACCAATCACAAGAAATGATATTAGTTTGGTTTGTTGTTGCTTAACATCCTATTAACAGCTATGGTCATTAAAGGACTTACTAGGTTTTAGTGGTGGAGGAAACAGGAGTACCTGGAGAAAACCACCAACCTGCCGACACTACCTGATGACTGCATGCCCCATACAGGCTTTGCACCCACGACCCAGTGGTGGAGGGCTAGTGATCATAGATTGTCAGATGCCTTAACGACTTGGTCTCACCCCCCCCCCCCCCCAGAGACATATGCAGCCACATTTCATGACGGACAAGAAGCCTTTTCCAGTGACTATAGCTGCAGATCCACTGAATGAGACACATCCGTGATTGGAATACAGCAACACTGTCTGGCTAAAGGCCTTGGTAAGAGAATCAACTTTAAAGATAGCAATTCTATCTACTTTAAATACCATATGTTTAATCTATTCTTGTATATTCAATATCTATAATGATCACTGTCCTTTCTATAGAACATGATACAAATATTTGTATTCCTCTGTACTCCAACAGGCTGACAAACATAAAACCCTACTCGTGGCCTTGTGGTTATTGCCAAGACCAAAACCCTTAGACTTCTAATGCATAACAGAACATTTCATAAACAAATAGAACATGTGTGTGAACAATAAGAAAGACTCAGTGGTATTGAACTACAGGGTCTACCCATAATGATTATTTTACCAACTTACACATTGTACCAATCATTAAATTAGACACAATAAAAATCACATAGGACTGTTACATGTCAGACAAGATCTAACACATCGATATCTTGATAAGTTACATGTCAGACAAGATCTAATACACAGATATCTTGATAAGTTACATGTCAGACAAGATCTAATACACAGATTTCTTGATAAGTTACATGTCGGACAAGATCTAACACACAGATATCTTGATAAGTTACATGTCAGACAAGATCTACTACACAGATATCTTGATAAGTTACATGGCAGACATGATCTAATACACAGATATCTTGATAAGTTACATGGCAGACATGATCTAATACACAGATATCTTGATAAGTGACATGCCAGACAAGATCTACTAAACAGATATCTTGATAAGTTACATGGCAGACATGATCTAATACACAGATATCTTGATAAGTGACATGCCAGACAAGATCTGATAAACAGATATCTTGATAAGTTACATGGCAGACATGATCTAATACACAGATATCTTGATAAGTTACATATCAGACAAGATCTAATACACAAATATCTTGATAAGTTACATGTCAGACAAGATCTAATACACAGATATCTTGATAAGTGACATGCCAGACAAGATCTAATAAACAGATATCTTGATAAGTTACATGTCAGACAAGATCTAATACACAGATATCTTGATAAGTTACATGTCAGACAAGATCTAATACACAGATATCTTGATAAGTTACTTAATAGACTAATATTAAGCATGGCACTGGCTAGTAAAGTACATACGATGTACTACCCAACACAGATCTTAAGTAGATTCATTCGAAGATTTCAACACATATATGACATCTATGACCTTGAGTGTGTGTCAAACTAATTTGCAAAAAATAATCTTGATAGCCTTCATCCTGGCAAGTTACAGGCCAAATGTCAATACTGTTGGCCTTTAGAAGTTTTAAGATTTCAATACATTTTACCCCTGTGATTTTAAAAAATGGATCAGGATCATGACCTTAGAAATGGATCAAGGTTATACATTTCAGCAAACTTGGTAGCCCTCCACCCCAGCAAGTTACAGGCTAAACATTTTGACCCTTAATACCTTATGGATCTTCAGAAGTTGTTGAAGGAAAACATTGCTGCTGGATAGACTTCATGTCGGCTAATAATAGTATTAGAATATTACTAACTAAAATAAATACTGCAACACCGATAGTTCCAATTAATCAAAACATTCAATGTGCATATTTCTATTATCAAGTTTATGTTGATATCTATGATTTTCTAAACAACAACAGTCTCTGTGCACACTTCCTTCCCACAAAAAGGGCATATTCCATCACTTCTTTAGCGTCTCGTGCTTTTGCATTCAAAGCCTTGTAGATTTCATAAGTCATAATTTGCCGACAGAAAAGTACAAGCACAGTGTCAATCTCAAGTTTTGCACCGTCATCCTCTGTAAAATAAACATATTTTTTTTATTAGCTGTTCCCACTCAAGCTTGATGACATGTATTAATACAAAACAATACAGTAGAATTCTGTTAGAAACTTATGGTATTCACTATTCTGTTTAATGCTAGTTACCAAATAATACATCTACAAAGACTTAGGTAACATTGTACAAATATCCATCTCCAGATTAGGTAAAATGGACCATGGTCTGAAATTGCTTATCATAATAAAATTGCTTGCTGTTGTTTCTTCCCATTCATAACTGCCAAGAAGACAGGTCATACAGCCAATATCCATAAACAGATCAAGTATATGTATTATTACATTATGGGTCAAAGAAGTAATATAGACGGTAAAATCCCATATAACACTGGATTCTAATGGAGGTATGTCCATAGGATACAAATTACTTAAAATATTATATGGGGCAAAGAAGTAATTCAAACAGTTTAGGTTGTCAAATTTTCGGAGCGATCCGCTCCTTTTCAAGACACAGTGAAACAGAACAGTTACATGTACAATACATCATATTACAAGAAGATAGAACTGATATACTATAATTGAAAATATAGCTATTATTTAAAACCAATAGTCCCCTCGGCTAAAGACAGCCGAGAGCATCGCAGACAAGGAACGCTGATGTTGAGGACCTATTCTTGCGCAAGGTGCATTATCACATAAAGTGAGTCAACGAGAGATATCAAAAACGTGGAACATGTGCATGTGGAAATCTGGCCCGGTAAATGTGAAAAATCTCAATTTGCTAGGGAATGTCTCATTAGTCGCCTCTCAATTCTGCGGTGGATCTAACAGTCACAGCAGGGGGTCCACACTTAGTCGCCTCTTTTGGTTTGTAGGAATAATGCATGTAATTATCAAATAAGTGAATGCAGGAGGAATAAGTAGATGAAATGGCTAAGATACTGTATAAATCTGCAAAATTAATCTGACAACGGCTGTTGGTCACACACACTGACATGAAGCAGCAGGCAGGTGAGATAGGTGACCAACTGTGCAGTAATGCATCATTAGGTCAAATGCCCCCTGGAAGGAAAACGAGCAGATGGCAACCACCTATCGTTCGATCATACCTCGAGGGTAGCAGGTTTGTAGATTGGTGATCCAAAAACGTTCTCTCGTACGTCGTCTCATTTCATCCCATGTAGGGCAATGATCTATGGCAACAACCTGCATGTCTTTCCAACTGTGGCTAGGCATATTAAAAGGCCTTGCCACAGGGAAGTCTGGTTTGTTCTGCTTGATGGAGCAGCGGTGGTTGTTGATCCTGACATTGAGCTGGGTGCAGGTCTCGCCAACGTACTGTAAATTGTATTTATTGCAGGTAATAAGGTACACCACATTGACTGATGTGCATGTCAGTGTTAGTAGTATGTGATACACTTTGCCGTTGATTGTACATTGAAATGTATCTGTGGAGCACGTGTATAGACACAGTTTGCACACCTTCTTGTTACAGGTATTGAAAGAGCCTTTCACCGCAGCAGGGTTAGGTGTAGGTAGCTTGCTGCTTACCACAAGATCTATAATGTGTTTAGGTCTAAGATATGCCAGTATAGGAGACTCTGGAAAGATCTGCCTAAGTTTTGCTGAAGATTCGATGATGCACCAGTGCTTTTTCAAGATAGATGGAAGTGGCGACATGTCTGGGTGGAACATGACTACACAAGGTACCCTTTGTGTTTGGGGTCTGACTTTGTATACAAGCAGACTGGCCCTGTCCAGTACCCCCACTTTGTCTGGATGGGAGGAGATACTGGTGTGTGTCAGCACACACCAGTATCTTCTCCCATCCAGTTGTCATCCCTCGCACACCACAAGAAGCATACTCTACTCCCAAGCTCTGCGCATCAGGCGTATTATTTGGGATGACATCATCTTTGAACGCAGATGTTCAGAGTTAAAGTCCCATAATTACATGCATTATTCCTGCAAACCAAAAGAGGCGACTAAATGTGGACCCCCTGCTGTGACTGTTAGATCCACCGCAGAATTGAGAGGCGACGAAGGAGACATTCCCTAGCAAATTGATATTTTTCACATTTACTGGGCCAGATTTCCACATGCACATGTTCCACGTTTTTGATATCTCTCGTTGACTCACTTTATGTGATAGTGCATCTTGCGTAGGAATAGGTCCTCTACATCAGCGTTCCTTGTCCGCAATGCTCTCAGCTTAATTGCTGCCCTCGGCTGTCTTTAGCCGAGGGGACTATTGGTTTTATATAATAGCTATATTTTCAATTATAGTATATCAGTTCTATCTTCTTGTAATATGATGTATATGTACATGTAACTGTTTTGTTTCACTGTGCCTTGAAAAAGGAGTGGATCGCTCTGAAAATTTGACAACCTAAACTTGTCCACACTGTTGGAATGACTTCTTTGCCCCATATTATTACATAAGGTAGAAAGCTGAGGCAGCTGATAAGGGACCTTTGTAAACAAAAAGGGTTACTTGTTTTTTCCTGATTGATGATGACTTTTTAATACTGGTACTGTACATGCATTCAAATGTGGCCATAAAAAATCAATATCAGTCATAATGATAACCATATGAAAAGAACATTGGAACAAATTATCATACTGAACTAATGTATTACATTAGACGGTATCACAATAACTGTACATACCTACGTCGTCCGCGGCGAACCTGGAGTATTTGTTTACATCTAGTTTAGGTGCACACTCTGCTATCGGTAGCCAGGTGTAGGTCTCTGGACACAACAGGAATGATGGGAAGTACTGACCCTGGAGACAGACGAATAAATTTAATGATATCTGTCTTACATACCAAAAATATATTATATTATTTTCTGGAATTATGGGAAGTACTGACCCTGGAGACAGAGAAACAAATTTAATGATATCTGTCTTACATACTGAAAAATATATTATGCACATCACCTCTGCATTATGTCACAGTAACACACATCAAGATAACTTAAGTCTGTATAAAAGTCCTGAGTTAAAATCTGTCATATAATACTGATATCACAAAGTGCCAGAATTTTGTGTAAAATACTCAATCACATACATAGTCAAACAAAATAGTACGGATAATTTGATTGGTCAAATTTTCAAAGATTCAGAATGACTGTTGTGCTTTCAGATGATGAATAACCAAAGAAATGAAATCTCACAAGTGAAAGTTCAGCACTGATCATGAGCAACAATGATTTGATCACTGTTCAATATCTATGGTTACATGTAGCTGTGGTATATTATCTGAAGATATACTTTACCTTATATTTCATTTTCGGACATGAATGTATGTAGTATCCCATATAGTAATATATAAGGTCAGGGGCTTTCTTGTTCAGCTCTTGAACAAAGGCAATTTCTCTGTAAAAATAAAATACTGATTTTTTTATAATTCAGAACATTTAACAAATCATATGTATTATATAGAGTTCTTTGTCTGATTAAGATCCTTACAGAGATTGCAACAGAAAAAGATAAAGTAAATTTGTAAACAAAGGAACCATGTTAGCCTGGTTGTCTAGATAATGTAGAAAACTACATGTATTGTTGCATTGAGAAATCTTTAATAATTGTAATTAAAACTAATTGCAGGTTCTTATATACCGCTTTATCACAACCTAGTTCAAAGGTCGTCTCAAAGCGGTTCACAAATTATTATCCATGGTTATAGGGCCTTTGCAACCAGCCAATATCTTTCTCAACTCCCTGAGGAAAAGATACAGCTGGTGTTTCCATTTCGGAGCTAACAGCTAGCATTCAACAATTCTAGCACTGCCCAACCATGTACTCATTTACAGCCGAGTAGACTGGAACAAGCAGAGTAAAGTAACTTCTAGAAAGATACAACACAATACTGTGCCATGACTCAAACTCGCAACCCTTTATATGATGCCCGGCATCCTACCACTACACTACCGTGCCTCCTAACTAAAAGTAGCTGTCTGGACGGACAACGTTCCATGGCTTTGTAGTAAAGGAACAGTTGACTTTATTAGCAACATATTCCTGAGTTTATATACCAGGGCTTTATATGTTGGGTGTTATCATAATGATATATTACATACCTGAGAGCTGTATATGTTCCTAAAGACAGAAAGTCGTAGTCTGGGTGGTAGTAGAGATAGACAGATGACACACAGTAAGGCAGGATGTCAATGACACCTACGGCAATGATTTTACCATCTAAAATGTAATGTTGATGGAAAGATCCATAACCCTGAGGTAATCCCCCCTTCTTGGTCTCCTCCTGTAATGACAAGTAACATAAACTATACATACATATGAAGTCTTAGAAAGCAATCCAAGAATGCAGGTCAACTTCCTGTTTATAACATTTCCTGTAGTTTAGTGACTGCTTATCTTTAAAAAAAGAGGCAATTAACCATGATCAAAACACACTAAAGTTTTGCAAATTATTAAGTTTGAAATACAGTTCATGGTATGAATTCATATCAAAAGCCAAAATACAAAGAAATAACAGCTTATTTGAAACAATTTCAATTGTTGCAATGTGATCAAATATACTACTTCAATCAATCTGTGAGTTTGACCTGATACATGTACATTGAGTGGTGAGTGACTTCATACCTTGAGTGATGTGTGTGACTTGATACCTTGAGTGATGTGTTTGACTTGATTCCTTCCTTGATGTGTGTGAATTGATACTGTGAGTGATGTGTGTGACCTGATACCTTGAGTGATGTGTGTGACCCGATACCTTGAGTGATGTGTTTGACTTGATTCCTTCCTTGATGTGTGTGAATTGATACTGTGAGTGATGTGTGTGACCTGATACCTTGAGTGATGTGTGTGACTTGATTCAATGAGTGATGTGTTTGACTTGATACCTTGAGTAGTGTGTGTGACTTGATACCTTGAGTGATTTGTTTGTCTTGATACCTTGAGTGATATGTGTGACCCGATACCTTGAGTGATGTGTTTGACTTGAAACCTTGAGTAGTGTGTGTGACTTGATACCTTGAGTGATGTGTTTGACTTGAAACCTTGAGTAGTGTGTGTGACTTGATACCTTGAGTGATGTGGGTGACCCGATACCTTGAGTGATGTGTTTGACTTGATACCTTGAGTGATGTGTGTGACCCGATACCTTGAGTGATGAGTGTGACTTGATACCTTGAGTGATGTGTGTGACTTGATTCCTTCCGTGATGTGTGTGACTTGATACCTTGAGTGATGTGTGTGACCTGATACCTTGAGTGATGTGTGTGACTTGATACCTTGAGTGATGTGTTTGACTTGATTCCTTCAGTGATGTGTGTGAATTGATACTGTGAGTGATGTGTGTGACCTGATACCTTCAGTGGTGAGTGTGAATTGATACTGTGAGTGATGTGTGTGACCTGATACCTTCAGTGGTGAGTGTGAATTGATACTGTGAGTGATGTGTGTGACCTGATACCTTCAGTGGTGAGTGTGAATTGATACTGTGAGTGATGTGTGTGACCTGATACCTTCAGTGGTGAGTGTGAATTGATACTGTGAGTGATGTGTGTGACCTGATACCTTCAGTGGTGAGTGTGAATTGATACTGTGAGTGATGTGTGTGACCTGATACCTTCAGTGGTGAGTGTGAATTGATACTGTGAGTGATGTGTGTGACCTGATACCTTCAGTGGTGAGTGTGAATTGATACTGTGAGTGATGTGTGTGACCTGATACCTTCAGTGGTGAGTGTGAATTGATGCTGTGAGTGATGTGTGTGACCCGATGCCTTGAGTGATGTGTGTGACTTGATACCTTGAGTGATGTGTTTGACTTGATACCTTGAGTGATGTGTTTGACTTGATTCCTTCCGTGATGTGTGTGAATTAATACTTTGAGTGATGTGTGTGACCCGATACCTTGAGTGATGTGTGTGACTTGATACCATCAGTGATGTGTGTGACTTGATACTTCGAGTGATGTGTGTGACCCGATACCTTGAGTGATGTGTGTGAATTGATACCTTGAGTGATGTGT